TAAGCTTGTTGACAGTAAAAACCGGGCCGAGGATGAACCAGCTTTTTAGATCAACTTCAATAAGTTTTCAAAAATTTTTTTCCCCGGCATTTGGGTTCTCCCCCCGGGCTTTTTGGGTTTTTCCCCCCGGCCCCTAAATTTTTCCCCCCATTTTCCTCGGGGTTGGAAGGGGGAGAAGGGAAAAAGAGCAAATAAAAGGTTTAAACTATCCCAAAAACCACGGGAGAGAGAGAGAGAGAGAGAGAGAGAGCAAGGGAAGAGAGAGAGGAAAATGAAGAGAGATGATGAGGAGAGCAGATCAGAGCAGAGAGAGATAGATATCCTTATCTATCTCGCTCGATCTACTCTGCTCTCTCTCTCTCTCTCTCTCTCTCTCATCTCTCTCTCTCTCTATCTCTCTCTCTCTCTCTCTCTCTCTCTCTCTCTCTCTCTCCTCCTATTCCTTCTACTCTATCTCTCTCTCCTCTCTCTCTCTCCTCTCTTGGAACAACTTTAATTAGCTAGTAGCCCGGAGTCAACCTCTGCTCCTCCACACTCCCACTGTGACACACACTACACACAAACACACACCGACACACACACCGACACACACACACAAACATGATCAAACAAACATTCTGAAATACGCTTGTTGTGGAAAAATAAAATGTATTCTGAGTGTAATTGCACTCATTCCCTTAAGTCTTTTACATGTAGGCCTGTATACAACTGTGTCTGTGTAAAATAATGTTTTAGTTGTGTGAAGGCAGCATCCCTCCAGTGGTTCAGAGCACCAGAATGTCATGCCATTTCTTGGGGGAGGGGCTTCAGGGTCCACGTGACTCTCAACATTAGCATTGACACAGAAAATATGTTTCAATTCTGCATTTTGTCTCTAGGACTTTCAATGTAATGCATATTTGGGTTTACATTAAAATCATCAGGAGGAAATATGTTTGTGGCTGTACTTCACTGTAGCGTTGCTGTGAAGCACAGAGAGGAATGAAAGAGATTTAGACCAAAATGTAGTTACACAGGCGCTCTTTCTTTTAGAGGGAGTTTGCCTCAAGATCAGCGTGTGTGTGTGTGTGTGTGTGTGTATGCTGTTTATTAGATGTAGTATGGAGGAGGACAGCTGATAGTGGTCACAGGACTATCAGCAATCAACCACACTTTCAGCCGCACACATACACATGGCCATACACAGCCAGGGGTGTTGACAAGACAATAACTCCCACAAGAGACAGTGTCTGCATCCAAAATGCCACCATATTTCCTTTATGGTGCACTACTTTAAAAAAAAAAAAACGATTTAAAAAGTAGTGCACTAAATAGGGTGCCATTTGGGACAGGGCTCTGGTCAAAAGTAGTGCACTAAATAGGGTGCCATTTGGGACAGGGCTCTGGTCAAAAGTAGTGCACTAAATAGGGAATAGGGTGCCATTTGGGACCCATTCCCAGTGCTTTAGTAAGATGTGTGGCGCAGTAGTAGAACAGACCAATTAGCTAGTTAGTCCTCAACAGAAACATGTTCCAGTGTTAAATCCAAAATCCCCAAAGCACAAACACACAAATACACTCACAGAAATCAAACACGCTGCTATGAATAACCAACACTTCCCCTTGAACCTGAATACAGTAAGCATCCGACTTCAGTCAGAAACACATTCAGAGAAGAAAAGACAGGTTTTCCCATTCGACTCCTAAGATAGTGTAGTTGAAAACCCAACTCCCTTTAAATCCACTGGGACCAATGATAAAGCTACACTTATTTTCTCTAAGGGCTCTATTCAATCTGAAGCGTTTTTAAAGCTCATTTCCTATTGAGCCGAGATATGCAGCGTTTACTGTGAACGCAGTCTCCGCTAACGCGGGAACACTGCCTTTAAATTTAAATCACGCTGTGACGCTGAATTTGCCGCAATACGGATTGAATTGAGCCTTTAGTTTAACTAACTAAATAACAGTAACTTCTGACTCACTGAGAAAGTCTGATCTCTCCACTCCTGTCTCCTTCTTATTCCCTAATACTGGCCACGTCACATTGGCCCTGTACACACTCAGAGTGTGACATTTGACACAACGGTTGTGATACAACTGATATTTTTTTGTGATACAACGGAGAGTTTGTCTCCTACAAAATGCTAACACAACCATTTTGTGCCGTCTCCACAACACTAGAAAAACTCTCTGTTGAATCACAACCGTTGTGGACTCTTTTACATTTACATTTTACACTTTAGTCATTTAGCAGACGCTCTTATCCAGAGCGACTTACACTTAGTGCATACATTTTTCATGCTGAAATGTGTATGCAAGTATTTATTCAAGAGCAAGATGTGTTTGTTGTGTTTCATTCATTCATTCCCTGTTCAAAGCCCTCCATATTCAAGCGCTTTCAATCAGTATTGCCTCCTGCAGTTAATTGTTTGGTTAAGCGTTTGAGTTGTGTTTTGATTGGTATTGGCTCTGTTTTGCAGGTCACACTCCAGGTGTACCTAATAATTTAATTGCTCCAAGCCAGCGTCTAAAACAGGTATGTTTCGAGTCTTCTAGAGAGAGTCCCTGTCTGAGAGGTTTAACACGTGATGCTGATGGTATATCTTGCGCCTTTTGCAATAATAAATTAAAGTATTTGTATGAAGTTTTATTCTCAGTGTACTTTTTAAGCCTTTAAGTGCACAAGGTGACGGCCGGCCTTGTCACAGTAACTCAAGTTAAAATTGTTGAACCATGTACAGCTCGTAGTAACATCTCTCTTCTGAGTATCCTTTTCTCTATATTTAAATTAAGTGTATACTGCTCTCATCCTCCCATCTCTTCCTATATGTGTACAGTACCACCTCTCCCTTTTTCCTTAATTTCTCTTTCATTTTGTCTTTCCCCTCTGTTTCTCTCTCCCTTCATGCCAACTTCATTTCCGCTCCCCTCCCTCTCTCTGTGGCTTTCTTTGACCACTAATGGAATGCATGGTATTTCCTCCTCTCCTCCCCCTCTCTCTCCACCCCTAGACCTCCCTATATTGACCCTTCACCCTATTCTCTCTCCCCTCCTCTCTCCCTCTCTCCCCTCCCCTCCTCTCTCCCCTCGCCACTCTCTCTTTCCCTCTGTCTCTCTCCTCTGTCTCCTCTCCCCTCCTCTCCCCCTCTCTCTCCCCTCGCAACTCTCTCTTTCCCCCTCTCTCTTTCTCCTCTGTCTCCCCTCCCCTCCTCGCTTTCTCTCTCTCGCCCCTCTCTCCCTCTCCTCTGTCTCTCGCCCCTCCACTCTCCCCCTTCTCTGTCTACCCCTCTCTCTCTCTCTCTCTCTGTTTTTCCCTCTCTCTCTCTCTCTCTCTCTCTCACACTCTTTCACCCTGTCTCTCTCTCTCTCTCTCTCTCACCCTGTCTCTCTCTCTACCTGGGGCTTGAGAAATGTCTCTCAAATTCATAGATAAAGCTATGGATGCAAGGACTGACCATCCATGATATAGTTTTAACTATGTTTTGAGGCTTTACAGTGTTGGTTTAGAATTTATATTGTTTACAAACAATGGTGTGAAACAAGTTTATATTTTGGGTTCTGATGGGCTACGACAGTTGAACTAAGCTCATGAGGCATTTATAAGATATATTCTTCAAGAATCAATGGGTATATATCTTTAATTTATAAGTCAAAAAATGGATGGCTGCCTGCATTAACAGCGTTGGAAGACATTTGCTTTGGACATGACGTATAACAATGTAGTATAAGAAGATATGGAGGCAAATGTACTGTAGATATTTCCCCTTACTACCACCCCCCCCCCCCCCCCTCTCCCCCCATATACATTTAGCTGTCTTTCTGTCTATCCCTCTATTCATCCCTCACTCTCCCTCTATCCAGCAAATCCGAAAGTTCTATCACCATAGCAACAGCTGCCGTCTGTGAAAAT